TTGGATTGAAGAGCAATACCCGCCCTCCCTCAATTGCGTGCACCAATCCCGTCATCACTAATCGCAGGAAGACTTTTCCCAACACCACTACTCGCGGCACCACTACTCCCAACACCACTATTCCAGGAAAAGCACACCATCGAAGATAATACGACACGTGTTTCACCTCTACACGAGGCATCCTCAGGTGATGTAGAGTCTACGGCGGCTGACCGCTAAGCGGTTCCGCAAAGTAACGCCTGATTCTACCAATTATCTTAATAAATTCATATAAATTATAATAAATATTTTTGTGTAAATTCAACAGCTAAATGTAAAATTTAATTATTAAATACTTAAGAAATCCTACTTACTAACTTTTCCGAATGAATCGTTCAATTATTGTTAACAATATTTTTGTATCGAAGTACTTGCGCCTGCTTCACCGGTCAGGGTCGTTAGATTAAGTTAGTAATGAGATGCATCTACTGCAGGAGCTCGCGCCACGCTCGCTCTAGTTACTCCGCGAAAAATTGTAATTGCAAAGTAGTATATCATAGTTATTCGCGTTCCTTTGTGTTTAATTTATATTGAATTGATAGTGTTGTGTGAATAAATAAACTTGTGTGTATAAAATAAACTTGTGTGTAGAAATAAACTTATTAAAGAATTTATGAATTAAACGAGACTTTGCCTATGTGTGTTATGTGATTTAACTGGTATGCAATAAACGTTGACTTTATTAACTCGGTGTATGTTTCATTGGAGTCAGAATAATATTAGCCTGTAAGTACAACAACTTACTGTTATACTATGTACCAGTTTTCACCATCACCAACTTATAAGATGACACCTTCAACTCTCCAAAACTCTTCTTACACACAACCACCACAAAATTCTCCTTTCATACAACCACCATGACAATCTTCTGCACCAATTCATACTGATAACATTGATAACACTGACAACATTTATACTATTACCCTGTACTCACAAAACAACGACTCTCAAATTATACTGCCAGAGCCACCAGAGGCAAACAATGACATATTGGCTGTGGCAATGGCAAATATTTACAAATAAGCTTGAATACAAATAAGTTGATTACAAATATGTTGATTATGAAAATAAACCTACTTCAATACAAAAAAAATAAAGTTTTTGTATATGTTACCTAACTTTATATAATTGATTTTAAAAATAAACCTTCTTTAATAGAAACCAAAATATTTTATGTTACCAACCTTTATGTAATCTTTTAGTGCGTTGTAAATAGCATCACGTACTTCGGATATGAAGTTACAAGTTGTCGATCTTGGTAACCTGAATAGGTGTGGCAAGGAGCGTAAACTAATTCTGTTAGCCAACAAGTATAAAATAGCGTGCAATTTCACTTTTGCCGGCAAAGTAGATCTCATAAAAGAATCGGATTTCTGTATGATGGGTGCGACAAGGTCTAGTAGTATATTAAATGATTCTTCGTTCAACCTGAGATCAAAGTAATATTGCGACGTATCTTCAGAAGTCAATTCCTTAATAAGTTGGTAGCTTGCTCCATGATTAGGTCTTCTATTTATCCATTTTCGTACCAATACTTTTCCTCTTGCAAGTTCCGATCCCAAAAATTCTTCTGTTTCAGACACACCGCGTTTAATATTACTTTTAGTATTTCTTGCAATTGCAGGCGCGCTTCTTGAGGTGGGTCCATATTTGCTGGTCGACGGCTAACTAAAGCTTTAGCAAACCGTATGTATTCGTTACTGAGTTACGGGTGCACCATCTTGTACCGAGTAATGAGCATTTGCTTTCTACACACTGTTTCAGTTCACGCAAGTACCGTTGATGCGTGTATTGAAAAATTTGCTTAATCGGTGAATTTAAAAACGTAAATTACAAAGTGCGATGTTTGTTTGACATTTTTTATCAATAACCCTGTTAATTAAATTTTGTATCAATTCATTGCTACATGCCATTGTGATATCACTATAGTGATCTTTCAATCCCAGTCTTGAATGAATTTCTTTAAGCACGTTTTACAATGTAACTATTTACTACTATTTTTGTTTTTGCTACTAAGCTACGTATTTTCTTTTTTCTTTTAGCTTTTGTTTTAATTTCTTGTTTTTTTTTATAAAAGATTATTTTCTTAGTGTAGGTTGATCACTTCTTTTTTGATCTTGTGACTTCAAAGGTGAAGGAGTTATGTCACGATTGACATACGATGAAGCTACTCTTTCACCTGCCCTGAAAAATATAAAGTAATAATAAATTAATTATCATTTGAGCTGCATGCATTTTAAAAACATAATCACAGAGAAATAAACAGAGACAAGCAAATACGCCGAAGATATTAAAGTACACCAAGTGTATGAGGACACACACATATGCACAGATGCACTCTCTGTTCTCTCAATCTCGGTATGTTAAGAAAACGGTCACCCATCCATAAACTGACCGCAACAAGCGCAGATCTATTGACTCACGCAGCTGCTTTTTAACCACGAGCTCAAGCCTCACTGTCATCGGGCATCAAGCACGATTCAGGCATCGAGCGTTACGAATACCAAATACTATGGAATTTAAACAATCCTGAGTCACTGAACCGCGTGTCTCATGCGCGGGTGTCTAGTGGCACTTCTGGAACATTACTAAATATATATACCTAACTACGCTAAAATTTTATCATTGTGACTTGGGAATATAATACGAAGCTCCGCACAACTCCTTGGGGAAAATAGCGTGATGCATGGAATATTTTACTGGTGTGACCTTGAGGTGCGGGTAGTGAAGTAAGGTTATTATACATTTTGGTTGATAAATAGATAGTTATTGTTTGGGTTCATAATGGCTTGAATAGGACAATCTCAAGATTTATTATTTTTAATATACTATAGTTTTAATGTATAAACATCTATTTCTATTTATAGCTAAAATTTTTGAAGTTAAATATTTGAAGTCTTGTAACAATATTATGCTTACTGGTACAAATAATGTAGGAATGGCTCCTTTCAACAAAATTGTTTTTACTGCTTTTTCTTATATATAAAATGTTTGCTGGAAATTGTAATCAAAGCCTTTAAATTTTTTTTTCTAAGTAAAAATTCTAGAGGGAATCTGTTTGAGAAATGGCGAAATAAAATTATTATTTTTGTTGTGTAGACAATTCTATCGATTCTATATCAATATTCAATATAAATATCGATATTAATTTAGATATAGATGAGGCAATCACTAGCGTACATGTAAAATATTTCGTTTAAAAATGAATTCACAAAAATCGTATAAATTATCAACAAGTGTGACTTTTCCTTTGCAAAATAACAAAATTAATAAAATAAATGAAAATATTCTATAATGTAAACAGTAGGTATATACCATACACTTCAACCAAAAATAGACGCATCATAGCAGTAACGACTTCTTGCGAATTTACCTGTGAAATGTGCAACCATCAGGATTATTTCTATGATTAACACAGCAGTCGCTCACTGAACATGTAACCATTTTGAAAAACTATACGGATTACAACAATTTAGTATTCTTATTAGTTTGTGACAAATATTAACACTATTATGATCTAAAAAATTACAAAATTCCTACAAGCTCATTTCTTGCGTACCTACCGACTTGTGCCGCCCTGTCATTCGAAATTGGTTACAGAATCATGAAAATTGGTATCCTTTTCTATCTTGCATTTTTCCATAATGAATTTTTTTCTCCCTTGCACACTATATTCGTCTATACGATAGTATATTCTAAGTCTATGATCTTGATAACAAAATTCAACCACCGACATTACATCATCCAAGCATTATTTCCACTAAAATTTAATAGTAATAATAAATTCTTTATTGCATTACTTTGTGCAAAGTTAAATAAGACAATATAAAAAGTATCAACAAATACCTCATCAGGCATGCCATAGTTTTACATTTAAAATATAAGATAAAATATTTAAAAGATCCTTACGAGAATGAACAACACGATATTATCTCTTTAAATCATTATAAAGTAGAAATTAACTACATTATATAATATAAGGTACCTTGAGGTTCACCACGGTTTTCGTCGCGGTCGATCAGTTGGTGGTCTTCTGATCTACCTTACACTTTTAAAAATTAATTAATAATAACTGTTTGATGATTTTCCGATAACCGATGGGGAAAAAAAGGCTCTCGAGTGGCAGGCTCGTACCGGTAGGCATAGTCCCGACTAGATGGAGTGACGACCCGGTAAGAAATGCAGCAAGTTGATGGATGCAGGTGGCTCAGGACCGTGCTTTGTGGCATTCTTTGGGGGAGACCTATGTTCAGCAGTGGACTTGTGAAGGGCTGTAAAATAACTGTTTGACAAAAGTGCATACATAACAGCAACAGGATAAAAAATGCACAGTGGTTCCGATATTCCTGGCTTAAAACCTAAATAATGGCTTCAAGGGGTTTTCTTTATTAAGTATTTAATGTCTGTGCATTATGAAAACACAATTTTTCGATTGGAATATAAATCGCAAGACTATAATCCACCAATGGGGCTTGAGATTCTATCGTTGTTAACTGTATACTCCGCTGGGTTGAGTTAATCTCGAAATCTTTCAAAAACTGCAATGTGGCGCATCAGCATGTTATGAAGAATTTTGTTATAAAATACACATCGGATTAGGCTGTATGACCTTAATTGGCAAATCTTAAGAACAACTCATCCATAGTCAGTAAACAGTAATCTTTCAGTATATTAGAAAGTACTCTGTGCAGTAATCTATGAACTCATCTGTGTCTAATATTTATTTATCTATGGTGTCTACGTACAGCAGCAACAGAAATTCGAATCCGAAATTCAAATTGTCAACGATTCTTATGTCTTTGTTGAGATTTTGTATAATTTCTAATATTCTACTCATTATTTCATATTTGTAATAGTTTGCGCGGATATTAAAAAAGATCACTAAATAAAGTACTGAAACGAATACCGTAGTGATTAAATTTTCGTAGAAAATACTACGCAGTCTTGAATATAACGAAAACATGGAATGCTGGGACTTGTTTTTAGTGGAAGAAAGAATAAAGACATTCAAGAACTGGCCATTCAGTGATAAAAATAAATGTAATGTGAAGAATATGGCACAGGCTGGATTTTATTCGGTAGCTACTGGAGCTGATGATGCAGATGCAGCAAAGTGTTTTCTTTGTGGTAAAGAGCTGGACGGTTGGGAACCTAGTGACGATCCATGGGCAGAACACAAAAGTCACGCTGCCAAATGTGCTTTTGTACAACTTGGGAAGAATGAAGATGATTTATTGGTTGGTAATTTACTCTTTCAAAGTATCAATATTTTTCTCTGAATTGCAAGTTTATAGATTGTCAATAACAGGCTCAAAATTAGATAAAAATTTAATTAGAGATTAATTACAGTTGAACATGGATAAGCCAAAGATAATGGGACTGCAGTCTCTTTTTTGCTTATGGAGGTGTCTCATTAGCTCGGTAGTTTCTAGCTTTATAAAAAATGTAGTATTAATATTTTCGATTAGAATTTAGAAGACGCTTAGAAAAAGAAAAAATGATACACTAATATTTACTTAAAGAACTCTGTTAATTACTTATACTGCAATTTCCCACTTTCACAAGTTTATAAATTAGTGACAACAAATACATTTTTTATTTCAACATTATGAGAATATGTACCTTTCCTGCAATTGATACTTATCAACTGTAGTAAGTTCGACAAATAAGTTGGTACACATGCACGTTCAGTCATTTGAATAGAATATGATCAAAAAACAATGTTAGTTACTTCCTTGAAATTTAAGGAAACAAAGCAATATTAGTTCCACAAGAATGACTCATAATTAGCATATGTTAAATACGCTCCACTGGCGCTTATGGAGGTATGGATTAGTAGAAGTCTCATTTATAGAGGTCCATGAGTGAAAAATGACTCTTTTAGAGGTTTCTGTTTCTCACTTATAGAGGGCTTAGAGGGTTCATATTGATGGGACCCGGCAATCACTGATAAACAGATTCATCAAATCAACAAGTACCAAATCACTTCTAGATTACTTATAAACTTCAAATTTGGCATCAAAGTAGGATCATTAGGCATATACCAGGGATAAAATCTGAAAGCTGCAATTATTGATATTCATTCTCAACTACTGTACTTAAAACTTACTGCACCGATAACATTTAGTTCTTATAAATTTTATTTAAATTCAAATTCATTTAGTCCTTTGCGATATATTGGTTACAATAGGTCTTAATAAGTAACAAAAATACAGCCATATTCTATCTTCCGGTGTGCAAACTAATTAAATACAAGATATTTTAAGCTATTCTATAGCTTTTATCACTGGCTTTGAGCGCGGCGTCTTTTATCAAGAAATTTCGTTACGAAAATAAACCTAACACTCCGACCTGCACAGTGGTGTGGTGTTGAAAGCCGTGCATCATCTAACATCGTTTCAGTTTAGCAGACTTAGGCACGGTGTTTGTCTGCATGCAACTAGACGTATGCGTGTAGACTAGCTGCTAACTGCTCATAACTGATTCTATCTCTTTTAGACACAATGCTAGGTGAGACAGCATGCTTTTTGGCCCCGTCCATGAGTGAGTTTGAGGCCACGGCTAGTTGAACCTTAACTAAGTCTCAAACTTATGTTTCATATTTCAGTTACCATAAACCTATAGTTTCAATGATAAAAATTCCTGAATAACCAATAAAAAATGTTTTAAACAATATTAAGTTCACATTGAATAAATGTGAAGTTAATATTGTTAATATAAAGGAAAAAAAAATTGTTTTCTTATCGGTCACCACACTCAAAAAGTGTAACTTGAATTAATATCAAACAAAAAATTTGGATTAGTATCAAAGAAAAAAAACTGAATAAATATAATAAATAAATAAATATAATTAAATAAGTTATTAAAAAATGCTATGCAATAGCTTTACCGCGACAGTCCCCAAGTGCCACACATATTTTTTTTTATAATTAAAATGGAAATTTCTGATAATTACATTAACATAAAATAATCTTATTTGTATTACTAACATCATAATAATTCACCACATAATAATATACAATAAAATTTTATTAAAAGTAGAAAACAGTAAAGCGTAAATGCAAGAAAAAGCGTGAAGTACATGTATTTATTTGAGTTATTAAACAAAAAACTTTCTTATAAAGCAATATCCCATCAAAAAACATAAATATTAACCTTGCCCAAAGTTATATACAAAAGGTTTTCAGGGTTGTCAGCTTCGCCCATAAAAGAGTTGGGATTTGTATGTGTACTGACCTCCATAGTGTTATGTTTTTGGTGACATGAATTCCTTACCTTTCCATGAAGTGCTTATTTAGCTTGTTTATAACCCCTTGTGTGGCGACCGGCCAGATTCTGGCCGATGGTTAATTACGCGCGTCTGGCAAGCGACCAGATTCTGGCCGATCCGCGACTGCGTATTTGGCGGGTAAAATAACCAGCGACAATGATTTTTATCACACTTTTACTTATAGAAAATTATAAACCAAAGAAAGAGGATGCGATACAAAGCTACTAAAGTACTACAATGTTTAGAAATTTCGAATAAACACCTATGTAGCAGTCGCATGCGAACGTCACTTTCATGTGGTCACCCGTCCCGGTTTTTGTCCTTATTTTTATTCCTAAATCGAACAAATAGTGAAGTTAGGTGCTATTCAAACATAGAAGGGTTAATAACCAACAGTTTTTAATTCATAATTTAGGGATATGTATCCTTTTTATAAAAAAAAATTCGAACATAAACGGTCGTTATACTTACTTACCTTACATTTATCTCTATTGTTGATTAAAAATACATTACATTCTTTTTTAGAAATGAAACTTTGTCTAAATTAAGGACTTGAGCCATACTTAATGTTAAAATTATCGTACGCCACTTGACTTGCTCATTTCTCAAAATAAAACTAACAATATATGCTATTTTTTGTGCGACGCTTGGGTTGCCGTTCATGTGTTAAGATTGTAAAAAAACTTTTTGATGTAAAAATATATAGGAATGTGTGGTTTTTTTGCTTTTTTATTATAAATTAGTGTATATTGATGAAAATAAATTACATTTATTTTATAAAAGAATGATTTTTATGTTTAATTTTCACAAATTATGCACAAAATACTATTAAAAATTTGGTTTTCCAACTTTGAAATTGGCTTAATAAAATCTATTAAGTTGTATTCAACTAAGATATCTACAGAGTAATAGCAAATAATATAACAATTCATATGACATAAGTTTTATAAATAGCTTCCATACAATATTTTAGAGAAATTACTAATTTAATCGCCACGCGCCGATATCGCAAAATTACCTGCTAAGGCCCTAGCAGACGCGACGTATTTGCAAAATGGCCGGCCGGCAGACGAGGGGATAAGTACATCTGTAGTTTTCACATGCATACATGGATTCTCAGCATCTTTGTATGCTGAGAATCCATGTATGCATGTGAAATGTATAAATATACATGTATAAAACTTTAGAACTTTAGAAAATAGTCTGTCCAAGAACAGTATTTCTGTTAGATAATATGGATAGTATTCATTATGTGGTGTATTTTTGTTTTCAGCTTCCAGAGCTTTTATCAGTCATCAAACAATATATGATTAATGAGACTAAAAGAATAGCTGAACTCTCTAAAGAGCAAATTGATGAGAAATCTAAGGTTGTCCGAAGAAGATGCTTAGTAAGGAAATAAAGATATTATATGTGATTATTAATATGCCAATTGACTCAAAGTATTATAAATAAGGGAAATGCTACTTGTCGATTTGAATGATTGAAAATATTAAATAATAAAATAAATATTTCTGTATTTCTTTATTTTATTTTTTGCTGTATTAAACTTTTAACAATTTAATTTTTTAGATGAGTCACAAACTACCATGCAACTTACCTGATGGTAAGTGTCGACTGCCACCCTTAAACAACTGCAACACTAGGGGAATAGCAGATACAGAGGACCCCCAATAATCCAGCCTCTGGCTAATCTATCCCCCCTTGTAATCCGACATGTCCTTAACTTGTAGTTAGATTCGACTCGCACTATGAATCCGCCACAGGAAGAGGTGTCCTTCGCGAATATGTGGCTTGACGCATATTGTCTCCGTTCAAATGTGACTGTGATAGCGGCCTAGCTGGCATTCATTATTTACTGTTTAGGTGTTCATTGTGCATCACATGACATTTTTATTTTTTTATATTTGATATGTTATCTGTCGGAGTACTAGATACTCTTTATCAAAAAGTTTCGGACTACCAGGGGTCTGTGGCAGTACTCTATAGTCCGACAAATTCTATAATCCGACACCACCTTGAAAAATATTTGTCGGATTACCTTGGATCAACTGTATGTTGCCGGCCTTTTTAAAAAGAGTAGGCTCTTTTTTGAAGGTCCCTAAATCATATCGGTCTGGAATAATCACTGGTAGTAGTCAATTCCACAAGGAAGTTTTGCAAGGAAGAAAACTTTTAAAGGTAGTAATAGAGCTTAGCTGCCTTAGAGGTGGTGGTATGTTATTCCATATTTTCGAGGCTGCATAGTGCATAGCGAAATGCTCCCTTGAAAGATGCCGATTTGTGCTTTTGTACCGAAAGTTGCTGTGAGTGCTGTCTTCTATCACATTGCCTCCTTGTCCCAGCCAAGTTTATTGTACAAGTAAGATGTTTTATGACGCCAAAAAGCAAGCACGCTAGATGCAATTTCTGTCTCGACTTCATTTTAAGTATGGCGTGATCGTTAAAATACGGAGTGACGTGCCCCCGAAAAGGAACTGGGAAACAACATCGGGCGCAAGCGTTTCGGACACGCTGAACAAGCCGCCCCGTTCTGGCCAGTAATCGTGGACCGTACACAGCATCAGCGTAATTAAGCTTTGATAAGACTAACGACTCGATCAGCTGTACACCTAATTCCTCCGACAAATACGGCCTAATTTTATATAATACTTTGAGCCGGTAGAAGCAATTTTTGACAGCTTCGGCAACATGTTCCTCAAACCGTAAGCCCTCATCAAATTTTAAACCAAGTTCCGTGCTATGTTTACCCTTTTTACTTTCTTTCCCTTCAGTCATCATCATCATCGTCATTACAGCCCTTCACAAGTCCACTGCTGAACATAGGCCTCCCCCAAATAACGCCACAAAGCACGGTCCTGAGCCACCTGCATCCATCGACTTCCTGCATGTCTTCCAAGGTCGTCACGCCATCTAGTGGGGGGTCGCCCTACACTACGCCTACCGGTACGAGGCTGCTACTCGAAAACCTTTCATCCCCATCGGTTATCGGTTCTTCGAGCTATATGGCCGGCCCATTGCCACTTCAGCTTACTAATCCGTTGGGCTATGTCGGTCACTCTGGTTTTACTGCGGATATCCTCATTTCTGAGTCTATCACGCAGAGAAACTCCGAGCATAGCCCTCTCCATAGCTCGCTGAGCGACCTTGAGCGTCCTCATACGGCCAGCAGTGAAGGACCACGTCTCTGATCCGTAAGTCATCACTGGCAACACGCACTGGTTGTACACTTTAGTTTTCAGAGATTGAGGTATACCTGAAGAGAAGATGTGTCGTAATTTCCCGAACGCTGCCCAGCCGAGTTGAATCCGTCGATTGACCTCTCGGTCGAAGTTGGACTTACCTAGTCGGACTATTTGTCCCAGGTAAACGTACTCGTCAACAACTTCGAGCATAGTGCTCCCCACAACTACCGGCATAGGTGTGACAAGGACATTGAACATAATCTTTGTTTTGTCCATGTTCATCTTAAGACCCATCCGTTGGGAGACACCATTGAGGTCATTGAGCATAGTGCTAAGGTCCTCCAGCGATTCTGCTATAAGGACTATATCGTCGGCAAATCGAAGGTGAGTGATGTACTCGCCATTGATGTTGATACCGTATCCTTTCCAGTCCAGTAGCTTGAAAACGTCTTCCAACGCAGCGGTGAAGAGTTTCGGGGATATAACGTCACCCTGTCTTACACCTCTCTGCAGTTGGATAGGTTTCGAACTCTGGTTCTGTACTCGGATAGCCATCGTAGCCCTACTGTACAAACACTTCAGCACCTCGATATACCGACAGTCAACTTGGCACCGCTGAAGGGACTGTAGCACCGCCCAAATTTTGACGGAATCAAAGGCTTTCTCATAGTCCACATACGCCAGGCAAAATGGCAGATTGTACTCCTCGGTCTTCTGTAAAATCTGCCGCAGGATATGTATGTGGTCTATGGTACTGAAGTCTTTTCGGAAACCGGCTTGTTCGGGAGGCTGGAAGTCGTAGAGTCTGCGTGCGGGACGATTCGTAATGACTCTCGAAAACAGCACGTAGACGCGGCTCAGAAGGGAAATCGGTCTGTAGTTCTTCAAGAGAGCGTTGTCGCCTTTCTTAAAGAACAAGACCACCGCACTTCTGCTCCACGCCTTCGGAGTAGTGCCACCATAGAGGACGGAATTGAAGAGCTTCTGAAGGATTTCAAGTACCGGTGTTCCACCCGCTTTCAGAAGCTCCGCTGTAATTCCATCCTCGCCTGGGGACCTGCCGTTTTTAAGGTGCTGGAGAGCCATTCTAATCTCGCTCAGACTGACGTCCGGGATATCATCGGAATAGTGTCGGGTAAGACTTGCTCTTGTATCATTACTCACACTTGCGTGTGGCTCCAACGATGATGTGTACAGCTGCCCATAGAACCTCTCAATCTCACTCAAAATCTCAGGTGTCCCGGAAACGATGCTGCCACACTCAGTCTTCAGCTTTGACAGTTGGCTCTTTCTGGCAGACAGATCTCTGGCAAAGACTTTGGAGCCCTGGTTCCGCTCGATCGCTTCTTTAATATGAGCAGTATTAAAGTTGCGGAAGTCTTGCCGCATGCATTTGGAGATCTGTCTGTTCAATTGCCTGTATGCTGTCAAATCTGTTGATGATTTTCCCTTCAGTACAATGCCTAAAATTTCCAGTAATTTTTTAAATTGATTCTTTGTCCCAAATATCATATAATTAGTTTTATCAGGGCTTAATAGTAGACAGTTATGCTCAGACCACACTGTGACACGTTCTAAATCGTTATTTAGATCCTTAACAGCTGTTTCCCATTGACTGGGTTTGAACGAGATGTAAAGTTGTGTGTCGTCTGCATACATATGATACTGACATTTTTAAATATTTTTTGGTAAGTCCGCACAATATAAGTTAAAAAGATAGGGCCTAGAATGGAACCCTGTGGCACTCCTCTGTTCACAGGTGCTAGGTTAGAATTCACAGAGGTTTCATTCCCACAACACAAACTGAAAAAAATGCTTTCGATTGGATAAATAACTATTGAACCAGGACAGCGTGCTACGTCCGAAACCATAAAAACTCAATTTTGACAGTAATAAAGGTATATTTATGGCATCGAAGGCACGCGAGTAATCTAATAACACCAGTAGGGTGCACATGCCCTCATCTTGGGCTGACAGGATATTATCCACTACATCAATCAAAGCTGTAGTAGTACTATTTCTCTTACGAAACCCAGACTGCAATTGAGGAAGAATGTTCTTTTTCTCAAGATATTCCGTAAGCTACAATCTTTTCTAATACTTTTGATAGCTATGGTTAAATGCTAATAGCGCGTATATCTTTTATGCTCAAGGGGTTATTGTTCTTAGGGAGCGGTCGAACAATAGCTATTTTCCAAAGGTCAGGGAACGCAGAGGTTAAGATTGACTTATTAATGACTGTATGTATGATCTCTAAAGAGCTAGGTAATGTCATGATTATCATTTTTAATGATAAATTGTTAATTCCTATTGCATTCGATTTCAAACTGAGAATTTCGCGTAAAATATCGTTTTGACTGACTGATGATACAGTGAATGTTGCATCGCCGAACCTGTGAAATTCAAAGTAGGTTAGATAGACAGTGAAGCTTGTGCTTCTCCTGGCAAGTCCAAAAAGTAATTGTTTATTTCAATTGCTTCATTAAAGTGAGAAGGCGATTCTACGGTCTGCTTTGGAGGTAATAAGTACTGTCCTTTTGATTTTGGATTATTAATTTTGTTATTAATGCTGTGGCAAAAGTACGCGGCTTTTTCATTATGTAATGATTTTATCACTAGGGATTTAAGCTGCTTGTAGTACTCTCTACTGGATACCGAATTATTTTTAGGGTACTTAGCCATGGTATCATCACGAATTTTCATCATAAACTTAATATTATCTCTAAACCACGGAGGGAAAGGCTCTTTTAAAACACTTCCTAATGGGTGCATGCGCATCGAACACGAATAAAATGTTGCGGTTAAAGATATCTACTATTTCATTTACAGAACAAGAAAACAAATTTTTGAAGTTCAAGTTAGATATATCAAAATTAAACTTATCTAAACATATATTATCTAGCGGTCTGTATTGCACCAATTGAGGCGTAGGCTTGTCCTTTATGATATGAAATTCACAAACAACGATTGCATGTCCATATAAATTACCAGGCGTAAATACAGACATGCGCTTCGATTTTAAGTCGGAGCAAACTAGATCTATCAATGTTTCGGATATGCTAGTGAAATGAGTAGGAGAAGTAACTAGCTGATTTAGTCCCAAACACGAAAGACAATCGTTTAATATTTTTGTTTTAACTTCAGATTTATTTAGCAAATTGACGTTAAAGTCACCCATAAGTATATAGTGGTCATTATCCCCCAAGGCACCTATTGAGCTGGCTACGGCATCCAGGAACAGATCTAGGTCTTGCCATGGAGGCCGATAGACTGTGCCTATAGCAATTTTTTCCCTCGGATGTTAAGTATTAGCCACATTTGTTCAATATTTTCAGGTTTAAGATCCACAGTCAAAACACACGTACGTGCATTTAGTCCTCTTCGCACGTAAAAACCCACTCCCTCATCACGACCCCCACGTATATTTAATTTAACTTTGTTTTTACGAGCCGTGGAGCAAAATAATAAACCTACAAATAAAATCATGATAAAACACTAGCTTAGAATACCCTGATACGGTATGATGCGGAAAACATTTTTTGATTCCGTTTATATTATTGCAATAAATTAAAATTATTATATTACCCACCTGCCAAATGTGGCAACTATAGGTTTTTGCTATTATAGTTGCCACGCTTAGGTCGGTAGGTAAGTGTAGTTTCTTATTTTTGAGTTGTTATTAGAAAGACGCTGCTGCTGTAACCATAAGATTTTCTTCTGTATCGTGGTCGTGGGGGCGGTTTATATATCGACATAAATTCCATAGAACGCAATCATATAGACCGGGAACAATTATTTGTAGGTCATACAAATACTTTACCGTGCAGGGATTCGAACCCGCGGCCCTTAAGAGGATATAGTAAGTCAGCTCAAATTCTAATTTCGTCCCCACTTCCCCCGCGCGTCGTATGCTATGTACCAACATGTTTGTAATCACTAATACTGTAAGTAGATAGGTCGTTAGATACTTATTTCATTAGGTTAATCATATTTATGCCTGTTTCTTAACGCCAACCCAGTCGCTTCTTATTTTTTTCACGGTTATTTCCCATTTTAGTTTTACGTCGTCTTGTTGCGTCATGTGTATTCTGATCGTAAGCGACACAACTTCTCCCTTCAAAAGCCTAAGCGATACTAACGGGGCGACAGGAATCAAGCTTCAGGGCGCTCATAGTTTAAGTAATTTCTTTTTTACAGTTAAAATAATGGTATTTTAAAAAAAGTAAATAACATAAGCACTGCTTTATAGTTAGTTCAGTTAGTATGCAAAGTTTCATGATCTTATTAAAAGTATTTTATGGATAACAGCGGTTTATTGTTCAGTTTGGAGGTAACTTTGGATTTTTTTTCTATCGAGAAAATTTTACGAAATCGTGTTTTCGTCTAACATAATCTTTAACATTAATCCTCAACTTTACCATATATTTATTTCAAAATTAATGCTACAATACTTTCGGCATAAGGGAGGATCTTGCTAAGCCATTTCAGGTTATATTTCCCCTTAACGCTACAAGTAAAGTTTAAGCTACGTAGTCGTCTAAACGATTTGTCATAGTGGATGTTCTTTCTTACACCGTTTGCATTGGCATAATACCGTTTTACGAGTTTAGTCGAAGGTACATGTAAACCATAAAAAAAGTAAAATTCATGCAAGGACCGACAATGCTTACGTTGCGTTGCTTAGCAACTGTCAGCTGAATGTCTGTATTACATTACCACAATTTTCATTTTTAGTTTATATATTATATACAAAGTAAAAACCTAAATAAGTGATAATGGATGTAAAGAATTTAGAACCTTATGCTATAATTGGATTCGATGGTAATTTATTTGTTTATAACGTGTGTGAAAGATGTTTCAAGCATCATTTAGTTCTTTACTTTTGTTTTGTTTATAAAACAAAGTTTTCTTATGCTTTGAACTTAACAGCTGTTATAGCATGAGAGCAAAACATTAAAAATGCTGGTTTATTACCCACTGCCCCGTGGCAATTTAATATTGCTCATGTATAATTTGTTATAAGTGTATAAAGTAGACTTCCTATATGTCTAGTGTCAATCCCACACTAGTCTAGGAAGTCTACGGATGCAGGTGGCTTTTAAGACCGTGTTTTGTGATATTATTATGTTCAAGTGTTTAGTTTCTAATTTCTATGAGTTTTTCCGTCAAGAAATTTTCAGTAGTTGCCCGGAGTCAGGAAGTTGGTGGTGACTCACCCCCGTGCCTCGGAAAGCACTTAAAGCCGTTGGTCCTGCGCCTGATCTCCGGTAGTGTCCGTTTACCGTCCCATCGGATTGTGAGTGCGAGGGAATAGAGAGTGCACCTGTGCTTGCACGTACACTTGGACACTATAATCCTGTCCTGCGCCGTGAGTTTCGTAAGAGGCGACAGATCGGCAGCATCTGCCTGATAATTACTCAAAATTATAAAAAACAATTAAGCGTGGCAAATACGGCAAAATCAAAAAGAGGAAATCTTTGGAGGAGGCTTTTATAGGCTGTAATGGATGGATGAATATTGTAAAATGAAGTAAAGTAACAGCCTATGTACGTCCCACTGCTGGGCACAGGCCTTTTCTCATTTTCTGAGAAGATTTTAGGACAAGTTGCCGTGCTGCTCTAATGCGTGTTGGCGAACTTCACATGACTTCGAAATATTTTTTTTTCTTATTTCTCAGACATTCAGGTTTCCTCACGATGTTTTCCTTCCATAATTATCTTCGCGATTACAATTAGTACAGCTATAGAATCAGTCGTTATTTTGCGGAAATCCTTTAAAGATGTTAACAAAATATTAGCTAAGATCCGCGTATTAAGGCGATACTCTGACCAAAACCTTGCAAAAGTGCGTTTTTCAGAGACTATTATCTCATTAGTTATGAGAAATAAGCTACATCTAAAAGCACATTATTAATGTTCGATATCCTATCATCACATTCCACGTTCTAATTTGTTTTTATGTGTTATGAATACATTTAAAATCTACTTTTAAAAAATGACTTAAATAATTGATTACATGTACATACATCTGTTGCTAAAGGCAACACTCTAATCATTTGAGGATTACATTAATGGATAGATAATTTAGAAATCTATATTCTACACGTTTTATTTAATTTATTAAGTTCGCTTATCTTTTTTAATTGAAGTAATTCCAAATATTCGGGCGTATTTTTACGCGATATATTGTAGCGAGAGCGCGTGAATTGTATAGGCCCGAACGCTCAAGGTCTTTCGCAAGGGGAAACGTCTTAAAGTAAAATAAAAGTGATATGTCTTATCAAGTTTGATGAGCACTTCCCGCCCCTCTCCTCTTCAATTAGGTAAGCAGATGTTGTGGCTCATAGACAGCATTTTCATGCGTTGTCAGACTAAGATAGAAATGCCGCGTTTTAAGTAAAAGGGTTTTAGGTTTCTATACACTCACCATACGAAACACAGCAGCATTACGCTGTTATTTTGCGCTGGTATTCTGTGACTTACTTCATCATCTCACTGCCATCTCCTGGGCCATCGCCTTATACTTAAGGGTACACCTACCTTTGTCAGAACCAAGATGAGTTGCTATATGTTGGCGGCCTCAGAGAAACCATCAAAGCAATTCGTCCAGTGGGTGTCGTAAAAGAAGACTATGGGATATGCCAAATAAATTTGTGCTGGTATTCTGTGAGAACGTGATGCTTCCCGGTCGAGCCGACTTATTCATGTTACAACCGTAACGTAGCTGGCTTTTCGTAAAAATACGGCTTACGTAAAACACGTTGCAATTTAAATGCGTTTTTTGTACGGATACAATGCAGGAAGGATTTACAATCAAAACTTTCATATGTCTAGGTGGTAGGACTAATTTATTAGGTTAGTATGGGTATGTGGCACTCTGTTACTTATTTTTGCTGCCAAATAGTAATGCTTGCACTGTTGTGTTCCCGTCTGAAGGGTAGATCCAATATAATTACATTGAAGCCATTCCATTCCATATGTTTTTGCTGTAGTTACGACGGGTTTGGACGTTGTGTTAAGGTAAGTGGTTAACGCTGTCCATCAACAGTGTTAACCATTTACCATCAGGTGGACTTTATGATCATTAATCACTTCAATGTTATTTTTTTAAAAAAAACAGCAAAATGGTTTGTGAAGGCAGCTGGAACAGTATAATACACATAATTTTTTATTTATTATTTATATTTTTTTTGCTGACTTCGTTGTTGCCACTTTAAGCGAGGATCCAGCCAAACATTGACAGTTATTGATTGATTAATATAATAATAATATATAACTTTACCAATAACCATGTTTTGCTTTTAGGTTCGGCGGTCAAAGGTCTTAAAGTCCATCCTGATGGCGAACACATAGTCTATCCAATGGGCAACAAAGTTTGTATCCAGGAATGGAAGAGCAAGAAAATGTTTTTCCTCAGCGGGCACACTAATAGCGTTTCCACTGTTGCGGTCTCTCCTAAGGGAACCTACGTGGGCTCGGGACAAATCAACCACATAGGATTCAAAGCCGCAGCTAAAATTTGGGACTTCAAACGGAGGGTTGTTATTGGAAGTCACGAACTGCATAAGGTTAAGAGATTTCATAAATAACTAGCGAACCGCCCGGCTTCACACGGGGAATTACTGGATTTCGACAACAGTGCCACCTACAGGGATCAATTGTAAATATAAAGTCTAAACCATTAGGGACCTACCCAAGCACACATAAACGGTTTCATATATATATATATATATATATATATATATATATATATATATATATATATATATATATAATGTAGAATTCAATTCAAAGAGACAACGTCACGTCTTCGGAGCATTTTATTTCTTAAACACACAATGTGTTCTTTCACCCCTGAGCACGTGGTGAATCGTCACTTTCAATTGCAATTAATTATATTAATTAAGCAATTAACAATTTCATTGGTGTCGGCGGAAATCGAAGCCGGATTGTTCACGTACTGTGATATTTACACCGTGCGCTTAGCCTCCGAGCTACCTCTGTTCACTTAGGTAACTCGTCATCAGTTCAATAGTCCACTGTAAGACACCGACACTCGAAGACCACTTTTTACATGCCAGAAGATGAAAGAGACTTACTTCATCATATCACTGCCATCTCCTGGGTCGCTTTATACTTATATACCTACTGACCTTTGTGAGTACCAAGCTTCTTTTTTTATAGGATGGGGTGACAAACGAGCACACAGTCCACCTGATGGTAAGCGGTTGCTGTGGCCCATAGACATATCCATATCCATCCCCGATTACGAATCAAAGTGCAGATGCGTTGCTACCCGTGAGGAGTAAGATGGAATGCCTCGTTTCCAGTAAAGGGGTCTCCGGTTATCTACACTCACCATACGAACACACACCACACAGCAGCATTAAGCCACTATTTTACGTTGGTATTCAGTGAGAGCGTGGTCCTTTACCGGCGGAGCTGACCCATTCGTGCTACAACTATACTACTAATATAACTGCAGCATTGCTCTACCACGTAAAAACTTTTGCTATGTGTTGGCGGCCTCAGAAAATCCATCACCCCCATTTGTCCAGCGGATGTCGTAAAAGGAGATTATCGGATATGCCAGAGACATCTTATAGCTTCCGGTAGATATCCTTTATGTTTTATTTCGCCATCTTCTATATTTTAGTAGCCTCGGAAATATTGAAAATAATAAATAGAAAAGTTGTCAACCGTAGTTAGAAGTGACATATGCACTGATACACTATCAGGTCCGCGTGGAAGCACTCGCGTTCTCGTCCGACGAGCGGTACATGATATCGTTGGGTGGTAGAGACGATGGATGCGTGGTGCTGTGGGACTGCGCTGGTGGCGCTGCCAGCGCCACGGCGGCCGCCTCGAGACTCACCACGGGCGATGCGTTCACTCTCGCACCACTCAATTTGAGGTTCAACTCCTTTGTTACTGGCGGCGATTGTGAGTAATGATCTTTTGAATATCTCATGCTGTTTGATATGTTTTGTAAACTAATTACGCTATTATGAGTAGATACGTTGTAGTGTAACTGCGGCACAAAGTAATCGGTTCAACAGGTAACTGACGACGCTCACATAGAATAACAATGTGAAATAGCAGAGTAATGCTGTTGTTTCGTATAGTGAAAATGAGCCCAGGATCCTTTTACTGGAAACGAGGCATTCCGTCTTAGTTCTCGGGGGTGACAACGCGTCTGCATTTTGATTCTTAATCGAGGATAGATGTGTGATGTCTATGGTCCATAGCATCCACTTACCATCAGATGGACTGTGTGCTTGTTTGTCAGCCTAATCCTATAATAAGGATGACAAACCAGCATATAGCACATATAAGTATATGCTGGTTTGTTGTACTTACATGGGATAAAGAAACTGATTCGTTTCATTACTCTTCATTACTCGGTACAACTTACCATACAAGAAAATCCAATCCCAAAGAGATAAGTAATTTCAAACAATTCACGTCTTTTTGACCCTTTAGGATGGGTGGCCCCTTGTGTTATTACAGCCAAGGTGATAATACAAAAGTGTGGTTGGCTGGAATTGACTGGGATGAAGAGTTCCCAGATGATCTTCGTGAAGAGTGGCTTACTTATCGGTCAGAATTGGTTTATATCCGAAGGATATAAATTCGAAGGAAGGAAGAATTGCATTCCTCGATGGGTCGAAAAAAAGATGAATGTTGCTTACACGGAAATGCATGGTCGATGTGTCCAATGCCGCATACGCTGCAGTGATTTACGTACGGACTATTGTTACAGCTGGTAACATTCATGTTAATCTAGTAGCTGCTAAAACGAAGGTAGCTCCAACAATGCAGGTATCTATTCCACGCCTTGAGCTGGTGAGAGACATTTTATTGGCTAGATAGTTACTGACGTGGCTAACATGTTGTAAATTAGTCCGAAAAAATACGCTGCTGCACTGGTTCCACGGTGACCTTAGCATGGCTCATAGTCAACCCAGTCACTGGACAACATTCATTGGCAATATAACGTCCGATATTACAAACTAGTACTTAATATTAAACAATTCTCTAGCGAACCTCCGCGTATGGAACGTACGAGCTGAAAGCAAAAACCTCGACGTAGTGGACGTGGCGTTGGGAAAGTTGAGGCGCAGCGTACGCTGCATTACTGTCAACAAGGATGACTCTTATGGTTACGCTGGGACCACGTAAGTTGTAATTGTGTATTAAAGTGAACTCCTTTCACTTTCATTGATAGTTTATTATAAACCGTGTAGTGTATTAGTGGTTTAAGTAGTCCATATCATCCTGTGGGTGTCGTAAGAGACGATAGAATGAAATGGGCAGCTGCGTCTTAAAATCGTTACCGTTACATCCCATTAAAGTCTACTGCTGAACACAGGCCTCCCCCACAGATTGTCTCATGGGGGGGATATTTGCTATAGTTGTTAATTTATTCATTTACTCGAGGCCTTAAATTAAGAGTACATCATCATCATTACCGTCCTTCACAAGTCCACTGCTGAACATAGACCACCCTCAAGGAATGTTATCTACAAATACGTTCCTGAGCCACCTGCATCTCTTACCAGGTCGTCATTCCATCTATTGGAGGACCGCCCTATACTTAGCTTACCGGTATTTATGTATGGAGCCATATATAAAATACCCAGGCTCGGAGTCGTCTGGTAACGTAACAGTCAATCATGCGTGGTGATTTTACTTCATACAAAACGTTCGAGGTAAATTCTCGAACTGCCACACGTTTGTTACCCTTATTCTATAAATAAGGTAGTACTAACGGCACTGACAATGAGTATTTTTATCAAAGAACTTAGTTGATTATTGATGAAAATGAGGCATTTTATCAACTTTAATTTTTGCAACCTTTGATCTTGATACCTATCTGGTCAGACATGAAACATACCATGTTCAATGCTAAATTTGCTTTTAATTATAATTACACAAGACCATCAAAACTTAAGATGTAGTTTTAAGACTATTTATTTTTGTTCTTAAGGCTGTATCTCTTTGCGCTGTACAAATAAAATTTGATCATTCAGAACGGGCGACATGATAAAATTCTCGATTAACTACCCGGCGGATCCCAGTGCATCGGTGGCGCAGTGCAAGCCATCTCTCATCGGCTGCCTCGCTAAATGTGGCCCTTGGAGGAAGGGCAAGCGTCCAGAGTCCATTTGCTATAGCCAGGGTCAGTGCTATTGACTTTATTATTATTCAACGTTATATTCAATGACATTTAGGCTCAGGGTTAAGAATTCGCCAGTGGCTATCACCAGCGATGTTTCCGAATCGATATGACTTAAGAACCTTCAAGAGCAATTCCTCCGGTACAGATGTTCAAGGGCGTCGGAAGTCATTTACCACCAGGTGAGCCGCATAGTCTATTGCTCCCTTTAAAGAAAGGTACATCTTACTGGACAGAGAATGCTAAGTAGGTACATCTAGCAAAAGTAAAGTAACATCTTCAATACGAAGGACAGCTGGACACAGGTCTGCTCTCATTACTAGAGATGATTTTGAGGAGTCCGCTGCACTGCCCAAATGCATATGGTTGACTTCACATGCACTGGAGTTTTTAAATGTTTCAGTCATATAATAGGTTTCAATCAGTATGTTCTTAAAAATCACAATTAATATTAAAATTAAATCACGTGTTACTTTCCAGAAATCTTGTTTGTAATTTAATATTAAATAAGTATGTTAAAAATAATTAGCTAATCAAAAGTAAAAAAAAAACCTTAAGTGGATGTTGTGGCCCATAGACATCTACATCTATCCTCGACTGCGAAGCAAAATGCGGATGCGTTTTCACCCGTGTGGACTAAAATGAAATACCTCGTTTCCAGTGAAAAAAGTCTCCAGTTCTCTATACTCACCATACGAAACAAAGCAGCGTTAAGCTGTTATTTTACGCTGCTATTCTGTGAGAGCGTGGTGTTTCCCTGGTCGAGTCAACATATTCATGTTACAACTATAATGTAGCTGCAGCGTGGCTCTACCACGTATAATAACGTGGTGTTGGGATTAATGGTAACGGTGATAGTGCACGCATTGAGGGAGGGCGGGATATCATTTTTATTTTTCACGCGGATCTCAGCTATTAATTTTTAACATCTTTTATTTACAATTAACAATTTCATTGGTGCTTGGATAGAACTCCGCTTGTTCGTGTATCTTGTACTAAATCTTATGGCGAGGGCTACCACGATTCATCACTATAGCCATGGTCAGTGCTACATATCACCACTTTGCGTAATTGCTTCAGCTAAAGCTAAAAAGTCATATCCCATATACGTCCCACTTCTGGACATATGCCTCCTCTTATTTCTGAGAGGATTTTGCAGTACTCAGTGCAGTGCTGCTCCAGTGGGTATTGACATAATTTACATGCGCGTGGTACATTTATTTAATTGGTGCCGTCAGTGATCGAACCCAGATTGTTCGTGTAATGTAAACTTTACGACGAGTGCTTAGCCCCTTTTTGATTGTGGGAAAATATACGGTGGTCTCCATCAGACTATACTAGGGATCTACGTCCTGGGATCTACGTTTAGATCGCAATCCTTTCTCGCTTTGTTTTATTGTAAACAAGTTCCGGGGGCAGTAATTGCTGCTTACAGCACCCTCGCACTGTGCTGATGTCTAGGGAACACTTCCTAATCATCGTCCTGCTCGGGGGTTACATTTCTAGGCATTTGTAACCGCAGCATCCTACCTACCGATACTAAATACACCCGCAACCCTAGAAGCCTCGGTACGGTTAGAAGACCATCTCGAAGTGGATGCCTTGTGAAGCCCTTGTGCTAACACGGCTCTGTTTGTAGTTGTTTTATGTATTATACTTATCATCTTTATATAACATTCCGGCGTGCGTGTTCGTAGTTCTTTTTAAACGGCTAACGGATTTAGAAGAAATTTTTATGAGGCATTTATGGGGTCATCTGGATAGTTTTTAGGCATATTTGGGCCCGGTAGGTGGCGCTGTTGTGTAGGTCTAGATAACACCCGTGAGTAGCCGGGGCGAATGGCTACTAATTATAGTTTCTATAATTTTTCACTTCACTTAACTTGCCTTGCACAGGTATCGAATCGATACTTATAATGGACGACGGCTGTCTGATCGTCGGCGCCGGCGATGGGACCGTGGACCTCTTGGACGAGATCAACTGGAAGGGAGACTTCCCCAAGGGCAAGATCCTCGACCCAAACAAACCCCACTTCAAAGCAGTTAGTATAATACCGATTCTACCGTACGTTGTATGGCCACGGCTACAGATTTATTATGAGTGCAGCATAAATGGCTCAGCTCCACCAGGGAAAGACCACGCTCTCACAAAGATTTAAATAGTTAGATGTGCCTTCATCTTGAAAACTGTCGCGCGCACACTAATGCAATAGTGTCGTCTCTTATTATCTTACAGAAATTGTGTATACTACTTTCTCTGTCGCACAAATGAGCACTGATTACGAATGCGTGAGCTCACTCATTTGAGAATGGACACATTTCGGAGTGGTCATAGTCATAACCATAGTATATCATCATCATTACAGCCCTTCACAAGTCCACTGCTGAACGTAGGCCTCCCCCAAGTAACGCATCAAAGCACGGTCCTGAGCCACCTGCATCCATCGACTTCCTGCGTGTCTTACCAGGTCGTCACTCCATCTAGTGGGGGGTCGCCCTACACTACGCCTACCGGTACGAGGCTGCCACTCGAGAACCTTTCTTCCCCATCGGTTATCGGTTCTTCGAGCTATATGGCCGGCCCATTGCCACTTCAGCTTACTAATCCGTTGGGCTATGTCGGTCACTCTGGTTTTACTGCGGATATCCTCATTTCTGAGTCTATCACGCAGAGAAACTCCGAGCATAGCCCTCTTCATAGCTCGCTGAGCGACCTTGAGCGTCCTCATACGGCCAGCAGTGAAGGACCACGTCTCAGATCCGTAAGTCATCACTGGCAACACGCACTGGTTATACACTTTAGTTTTCAGAGATTGAGGTATACCTGACGAGAAGATGTGTCGTAATTTTCCGAACGCTGCCCAGCCGAGTTGGATCCGTCGATTGACCTCTCGGTCGAAGTTGGACTTACCTTGTCGGACTATTTGTCCCAGGTAAACGTACTCGTCAACAACTTCGAGCATAGTGCTCCCAACAACTACCGGCATAGGTGTGACATGGACATTAGACATGATCTTTGTTTTGTCCATGTTCATCTTAAGACCTATCCATTGGGAGACACCATTGAGGTCATTGAGCATAGTGCTTAGGTCCTCCAGCGATTCTGCCATAAGGACTATATCGTCGGCAAATCGAAGGTGAGTGATGTACTCGCCATTGATGTTAATACCGTATCCTTTGCCAGTCCAGTAGCTTGAAAACGTCTTCCAACGCGGCGGTGAAGAGTTTCGGGGATATAACATCACCCTGTCTTACACCTCTCTGCAATTGGATAGGTTTCGAACTCTGGTTCTGTACTCGGATAACCACCGTAGCCCTACTGTACAAACACTTCAGCACTTCGATATACCGACAGTCAACTTAGCACCGCTGAAGGGACTGTAGCACCGCCCAAATTTCGACGGAATCAAAGGCTTCTCATAGTCCACATATGTCAGGCAAAGTGGCAGATTGTACTCTTCGGTCTTCTGTACAATCTGCCGCAGGGTATGTATGTGGTCTATGGTACTGAAGCCTTTTCGGAAACCGGCTTGTTCGGGAGGCTGGAAGTCGTCGAGTCTGCGTGCGAGACGTTTCGTAATGACTCGAAAATAGCATGTAGACGCGGCTCAGAAGGGAAATCGGTCTGTAGTTCTTCAAGAGAGCGTTGTCGCCTTTCTTAAAGAACAAGACCACTGCGGTTCTGCTCCACGCCTCCGGAGTAGTGCCACCATGGAGGACGGAATTGAAGACTATGGTATGATGGACTATAGTTCGGCCGTTCAGAGAATGCGTTCCTGACACCTATAAGTTAGTCACGACTAGTGATGGGCACAACATAACACTGAGTTCGTTACCGTTCCTCCAAAATGAACCGCCGCGTTATTTTTAAGATTATTTTCGTTTTAAATTGGCGGAATCATTTAAAATTTATATTTTAGTAATTTAAGTGGAAACCAAAAAAGGGTAATATTAATATAATAAAATTGTTTTATTTATTCTTTGTTACAAAGTTACAATCTGTATTTCTATGCAATAAAGTACATTGAATTGAATGTGCGTACAGAATATTAATCAGACTCCGATTCGCTTGAGGAGGTGGTGTCTTCATCATCATCTTCGCCTACATGTATAATTATATTATTATCAATAACAGAATCAATCCTGATATCTCGGTCAATATGTTCCACAATCAGGTTACTAGTCTTCTCAACAACCTTTGCCTAGTCATCTCTTGTGACTTCCCCGCAGGCTTCTTTTAATAGGGTCATCATCTTTTTCGTGCTGAATGGCGGGGAAGTATTGTGGCGGGCGGCGTAACCTTTTATTTGATAATAGCCCAGATTAGCTCAATCGCGTTATATTGTCAATGATACGGTGGAATTCTTAGAACGCGATGACCGTACTCCAGAGCCAGTTCATCGATTTCGTATCGCACATTTGCCGCTTTATTTTCTTTAACTAATTTAATTAGCTCTGGTTTTAGCATCTGCATATTTGCGTTAATGCCTTTTGCTTGTAACCATGCCACCATTTCTTCTTGTTTATTAGCTTGGGTAGGTGGTTTCTGTATTTGAACCGAGTGATAGGATGCATTACAGATGAATATTACAGAAGGCTCTGGTAGGCTGGGCAAAAGCACGTTCTGGAAGCACTCTTTAAATGTAGTGGCATTCATTTCCTCGTCGTAGTCATTGGTGTGGTTTTTGATTGAAATGCCAGTAACGCGTTCTCCACAAAGCCGTGTTTTGCAGAACCTGCGTGGCATATTATCAGACGGGCCCCCTTACCCATTGGTACTTTCGACGTCGACGCTTGTGTATCATCCTTCCAAGAACGGGAAACCGTGTGATTGGCGTTTAGCCATGTCTCGTCAATGAACACGAATTATCCCAGTTATCAATATTTTTTGCTTCTCTCAAAAAACTTATCCGTTTTAAAATTATGTCGTATCGTTCTAATAAAATGTTTCCTTTGTCTGTTGTTTTTTATATGAAACACCAATATCTTTTAAGATTTTGGTTAAAGCAGTTTTACCCCCGCTAAACAGTCCAGCTTCTCTTAACGATGCCAAAAGCTTCTTCTTGTTGAGATATTCATTTCTGGAATAGTAACCGTATATATGATTTCTGATTGCATCGGCGTCAAAGGTGTCAGTATCTGTAACGGGTTTAGTTCTACGTTTCTTCTTCGGAGTACGTAAAATATTATCTTCCGTGCCAGTAGAGCCGAACTTTTCTTTATTAATATTTGTTATCGTTCGTTTGCTAACTCCAAGCGCCTGAGAAACGCGTTCTTGTACTTGTTCGACAGGTAACAGGGGTCCGATTTTGCCGCTCCCGCTCAAAGTAATCTTGCAGCTTGATGATTAACTCACGGGCTCCACTTTTCTATGTTTGTCCACGTTTAGGCATTATTATGCACCAAAAGTAAAAAGAACGCAATACAAAACATAATCGAAGTCCGATTTAGCGCCGATGTCAGTTTGAAAAGCAAAAAAGCCGGGTAATCAAATAAAAACAGTCGAAAACACTTGAAGAACGTGGTCTATGCGCACGAAACGACAACAGACGACTGTTTTAGCGTCACAAAATGGCGGCCTATAACGCCATTTGGGGTTACCATTTTCAACCTAAATATAAAAATGCTACCTTCTTTCGCGCGTTCGGTTTGTTCGTAGTTTTATTTTTATATTTAATAAAAGTTATCTTATAGTCCATTATTTTCAAATTCTTAAAAAGAAAAACAAAACGTATTATTTTATAAAGTATAACTGTATAAGAACAGATTACGATACTGTTATTGCCTGTTATTGTTAGCACAGCACTACAAATATAAAGCGTTGACATAAACTTGTAATAGCGCAGTATAGATTTAGAAAAATGTTGTTTACCAAGTTATTTGACACTCAGTTTGGCACAAAATTATAACATTCATTGATTATTATTGATATAATAATGTTGTTTTAATGCTCATCAATTGTTAAAACGGTAAACAACCAGTAAAAATATTTTTATCGTAACTACAACGCCATTACAAAGTTACGTCGTCAGTTCAATCGCGACGTGTCAGGAACGCATTCTCTGAACAGCCGAACTATATGGTAAGGGCGCATCTAACTATTTAAATCTTTGTTCCACAGATCATTTTGTGTTCTTTATACAATGAAACCGTTTTACGTCCTGGGTTCAAACAGCCTTCGTTGCAGAAACCAGTCTTCGAATTACTTGGTGCGATTTTTTATTTTACGCCTATGAAAATACAGTCGAGAACGCAATGATTCAACTATCTATCTTTTTTTTTAATCTCACTCGTCGCGTCGTTGTTCTTAAAGTTCCGCGTTATGTTGTTGGTCTAGTGGTTGTAGTAGTGCGATTGCTGTTCATGAGGTCCTGGGTTCGTATCCCGGGTCGGGCCAAAAAATTAATTATTGAGTTTTTCCGTTAAGAAATTCTCAGTAGTTGCCCGGAGTCAGAAAGTCGGCAGTGTCTCACCCTCGTGCCTCGGAAAGCACGTAAAGCCGTTGGTCCTGCGTCTGATCCCTCTCCGGTAGTGTCGGTTAACCGTCCAATCGGATTGTGAGAGTGAGGGAATAGAGAGTGCACCTGTGCTTGCACATACACTTGGGCACTATAATCCTGTCCTGCGCCGATGGCTAGCCTCCAATGAGGCAGGCCGCCGTGGTCGAATTTCGGTCTGGAGGACATTATTATTGTGTAAATAGTTATTAGTATATTATTATATAGTATATTATAAATAGTTATTTGTTCCGGTTCGTTTACAAACTAAGACAGAGACTAAACAGTCCTTACAATAGTGAACTTTTTGTCAATGAAATACAGTCGCTAATGTAAAAGGTAATGTAGTGTAGTTGCCGGAAAGTTGAGAGTATTTGTAAATGATGTAAGCGAATATTTAGGAAGTAAAGAGAACCAGAGATCCTTTTTTATTTATTATGTAATGAGACATTCTATCTTAGCCCTTAGAGATGGCAAGGCATCTGCATTATGATTCTTAATAATCAATGATAGATATAGGTCTGTCTATAGGCCACAGTATCCACTTGACAACACGCGGACTGTGTGC